CTACCAAAATCCTAAAGTTATCCACCTCTACCTATAAATAGAACACACAAACCCTAGCCCACATCTCAATTTCCATCATCTTTCCAACATCTACATAGCAAACAATATCCCTTCACCTTCAAAAAATCCGGCCAGCCACCTTGCTTTTTCGGTGAGCCTCTGATCGGCGAGCTTCCATATTTGGCACCCCGAACCGAGTCCAAACTCGCCCCGCCGGCAAGCCCACGTCCAAGCCGAGCTCTCGCCGTCGTCGTTTGGCGCCGCCGCATCGGCCAGCAAGCTCCCGCTGCCGTCCTCATCGCCGTTCAGCTCAGTCCACGCCGGCGACCCCTTTTCAGGCCCATTCAACCCCCGCACGAGTCCCGTTCCGTGCACCCGAGCCATCCACGGGCCCACACGCGAACCGATCTGCACCAGTTCAACCCCGATCCGTATAAACCAGCAGTGAACTGGGTCCCTCAGCACAGAATCGAGCACCTCAGCCCCGAAATGACTAGATCCACACGACCCGACCCGATTGTAAGAAGTCGATCCATTTTCCTAGTCTTTCCCGAGTTTCGATTTTTGCTTCGGGTTGTTTCTGGGGTGTATTAGCTTGATCTCCTTCTCCAGTGCCTTAAGTATGAATTATAATTAATTATAAAAATGCTAAGTGAGAATTTTGAGCTATATATGAATTAATATGAATTTATTGGAGTAAATGGCATTACATTCGGAATTTATTAAGGGCTGAACCGAAAAATGCGAAACCAAGTTTATAAATTCTATCTAGATGACTTGGAGGCTTAGGTTTTAGAATATAGAGTTGAAATGTCCGATTTTTGTTAAACAAGTAAGAAATTCGAAATGTTGTTAAAGTTTTACGCTAAATCTCATAAATGTTGAATATGCTGTGGTTAAAATTTCATGATTTTTTGATGTCGTTTGATATGCCTAAAAATTCGGGACTTTAGCCCCTTTTAGCGATAATTCTAGAAATTAATTCGGTTAAGACTTAGCTGCAGTTGTTGGGCCTAAAATCACGATAAAGCATTTTGAACTTAGGGTTAAGTTTTGGCTTAAAATGAGTAAGTTTGCCGGTCGAGTAGAGAACCCTAGTTTGGCTTTTTTCCAGGACAGTCCCGATGAACTCTAGATCCAAGTAGAAAAGTCGTGCGTCGGCGAAGTCGTGTCTATGCGTATGTACCCAGACCACGGTTGAACTGAGTTGCACCTAGTCAAAGGAGCGACCTGTCGTTCAGATTGAGATGCCGATTCAATTCAGTCGAATCAGTCCGGATGAATTCTAGATCCGAGTAGAAAAGTCGTGTGTCGGTGAAGCCGTGTCTGTGCGTATGTACCTGGACCACGAATGGACCAAGTTGCACCCAGTCAGATGAGCGGCGGGTCGGTTCAGATCGAGTCGCCTGTCCAGTTCTGCTGAATCAGTTCGGACGATTCAGGAGTTTCAGTTCGGAATATCGGTTTGAGCGTGAACCGAGATTCAGTATTTTTTCGAACCCAGTCAGATCAGTATAAGCCAGTTCAGATAAAATCGGATAGCGAGTTCAAATAAAATCAGATAGCCAGTTCAGACAAAATCAGATAGCCAGTTCAAATAAAATCAAATAGCCAGTTCAGATAAAGTCAGATAAGCCAGATCAGATAAAAATTTGATAAGCAGTCCAGACTTAGACAAATTCAGAGAACTCTAGAAGGCCTCAAGACAATAATTTTCCCAAATAGCTCATAAATCCTCTAAATCGACATTAAATGATTTTAAAATCGAGCGAGCGAACCTAGTAAGATCAGATAATAATATGATACAAGTTTTCAATTTGAGCTTAGTACTTAGTATATTTTGCTTGAATATTTATGTAGCTTAAGGAGAGTCGAGCCTCCGACAGATACCAACGTCCAGTCGAACTTGCCTAGCAGTATCAATTGATTAGGTGGGGATCACGGACTGAGCATTACATTGTCATTACTATCCTTACCATGATTGAGGTATGTATATATGAGAATAGTATTGCCTAAATGGGGCCCAGAGTGCCTTAATGTTTCTTAATCAGGATCCCACTAGGTCCTAATGAGGGCCCGAGTGCCATAATGTCTCTTAATCAGGGTCCCATCGGGGTGTACACGATTACCGGTCAGATAACAGAAGATAGCAGTTCCAGTTCCAGATTAGATTACTTACTTATATGCTTATTTCATGATATTATATTATTGATGTTGTTTTATTCAATACTGATTTCTGCGGAGCATAGTGGTTTTTCTCATGCCCCCACTACTTTTCTTTTAGGTGACAGAGTCCAGCGTAGAGTGTGAGCACTTGCGATGGCTGTGGTTAAGAGCAGAGTATTTTGACACGCATTTTCATTTCATTCATTTGAACATGTATTATTATTATTAACATGCGTGTATTTACTATGTTTAGCTTCAGCATATTCAGACTCAGCATGTTATTACGAGACTTCAGACAGTATGCATGTGTAATGCCTTTATCTCCACGGTATCTTTATTAAATGAATTTGATTAGGTTGCCTGTATTAATTGTGTCTGTATGAGAAAAGATAAGAAAAGCAGTAAAGTAGAGTTTGAGGAGCACCCCGCGAGTCAATGATAGCATTTTCGAAAATAAAAGATAGCGTTTTTGAAAAATAAAAAGCAAAAATTTTAACTCTGATTTTTTAAAAGCCTAGAAGTAGAAGGCGGGATGTTGCACGTCGGTCCAGTTCAATCAAACTAGTCCGGGCAGTCCTGACGGTTCGCAGAGAATTTTAGTTCAGTTGAACCAATCTGGGCAGTCCGTCCGGTTCGAGAAATTCCAATCAAATTAGACCCAGCCAGATTAGATTTCAGCCAGAATGTAGTCCAGACTTACAAATATTTCGGACAACTATAGTATGCCTCAAAGACATTAATATTTTCAAAATCAGCTCGTAAATACTTAAAATGAGTTTGAAATGATTTTAAAACCGAGTGAGCGAACCTAGTCAGATCAGATGATAAGATTCGAGTTTTTCAGTTTGAACTAAGTACTTAAAATATATATTGTGCTTATATATTTTGTAGCTTATGGGGAGTCGAGCCTCCGTCAGTTGCAATCCATTCAACACTTTCACTTCAGCATATTAGGTGGGGACCCTATACTGGGTACTACATTTTTCGTAATCGCAATATCGTGGCTGAGGTATGTATATAAGAGTTAGTTTGCCCGAAAAGGGGCGATAACCCAGCGAGTAGGTCCTTTCTAGCTAAGTGAACCAAACGCTAGTTAAGATGAAATGATAACTCTAGTGCAACTTTGAGTTAAGTGAATTAAGAACCTTAGAACAGTTTTGAGTTAAGTTGAAATTTCAGATGAGGTTAGAATAATTCTTTCCTAAGAGGTATCGACCTAGAGATCAGTTCATTTACTGTCCTTTTCGTAAGTCGAGCAGAAATTATAGTCAGTAGTCAGTCGAGCAGCAATTATAGTCAGTCAATCGAATAGCAGTCAAGGTCAGTCAGGCGAGCAGCAGTTATAGACAGTCAGTCGAGTAGCAGGTATAGACCGTCAATTAAGTAGCAGCTATAGATGGTTTACTTATCCATGTATTTATTGGATGTATGTTTAATTCGCGATCCGTTAGAAAAATGTTTACGATCGTATCGTTTCTGCCTATCCAGTAAGTACTTGCATATATGTCGATGTCATGATATGTTATTGTATTAGTTGTATATTCGGTGCCGGTTCCGACGGAGCATCGTTGATTCATTTATGCTCACGCCTCCCCACTAACCATTTTTCAGATGATGGTCTCGAGCGTGGAGCGTGAGCTGATGAGTGGTGGTGGTCATAGCAAGGACATTTGCTTCCACACTTAGTATTCAGTACTCAGAACAATATTCATTAATCAGAATTTCAGTTTATTTATGCCTAAAATCCTGAGATTTTCATGGCGTCTTATTAGAGTAATGAATTACATCTTGGTTGCATGCATAATAGTAAATGAGAACATAAATGAGAATTCAGTTCAATTGAGTAGCATCCCACAGTCAAATTAAAGTATTTTCGAAAAAGTTAAATTGAGTTTTCGAAAATTAAATTAGTGTTTTCCATTTATAGCGTGAAAATTTTACTCTGATTTTAGTAAGTTTAGGCGGGGTGTTACACAACTTCTCATTATAATATTATCAAAATCAACATTCCCAAGATTTTCCAACACACAATTTGATAATTTAGAAGATAACATAATCTGACAACTATATTATAATTCTTTTGGAAAGATTGCTAGAAGATGCTTGGATACAAATATTTTAAAAAAAAATTCAAACATTTTCAACTCAACAATTTTTTTAACTCACTTTTATTTCAATCTCACTATCATCAATATTATCAATATAATTAAATAATAGCAATCATTATTACTCACCACATCAACTTTAGTTCACTATTCATCCACTCACATAATTTTAACTAATCATCACTTCAAATCATCTTTCTCATACTTTTACATCAAATCAACTTTTATTATTTTATTTTAAATAATATTTTAATATATCCACAAAAAACTAACCATACCACATTTTTTAAAGTTAACCAAACTAAACCACAAAATCCAAACAAATTCAAAAATTTTTATATCCAAGATGTCCTACCCAATATTTTAAATATTGTGTTGAAACATGTTATTATAGGTCCAATCGATATAATGAGCTACATTGGAATAGCAACTAATATATCAATAAGATAAAAGAACACTACCAATTTCAATTTCAATTTCATATACTTAGTGTAGCTTCTTATGTTTTTCTTCTTAAATCTCGTTTCCGTTTTAGTTTGGATTCTTCATGTGTTAGTAGTTGTAATTTAGCCATGTTGGCATTGGAGGAGAACATTGACGTGTTTATCCCGTGAACTCGTAATCAGTTGATTGCTTGTATGTACTTATTTAAGATTTTAATGTTATTGTGTTTCGTTTGAAAAAAAAATAATAAAAAAAAAAAAAGTTGTGATTAAAATGTCTTTTATTTTTATTTATTTTTATTTTTATTTACCCGCGGGTAGTAGTCTAATCATTAGTTCTTACAATTATATATTATCCCATCCTTTCCAAAACAGGCAACATAATATCATAAACATCAGCAGCGGGTCATTCCAGCACAAAACATTGTCCCATAAACAATCAGTATCACAAATACAACCTTAGCAGACCCATACATAAACAAAAAGGAGCCAGATTCAACTAACAGCCTAGCTAACAACAAAGCACCAACTCCATGTCCTTTACTTATGGGGTTTCCTCCACAAAACCCCAAACCTGCTCATCATATTGCCATTCTTCTTCTTCTTCACAAAATCATCACCATAAAAAAAATCAGGTGAAATGTAGCTGCTGTCCATGGACTCAGTTCTTTCCACAACCAATTGCCCGTTATACCCTCCCGAAACCATTGCAGCTGCCACCTCAGCAGCCTTCCTCCATTGATCACACTGCACTTTCAGCCTCCTAAACTCTCCTTCCATCTCGATATTCGCCTTTTGGGCTGCTTCCAGTTGCTCGAACACTCGTGCAACCTTTTTATTGCTCTTATCAACTTCTTCGGTCAAAATTCCAATCTTCACCATGATCTCCTTCATTTCTGATTTCAATTTTTCGTTCTCATCCGCTAAAATCACGCACTCACTCTCCTTATCCTTCAACTTCGTATTTAAATCCTCAAGCTGCATTACAAGGCCATCATTCTCCTCACACATGCTCTGTATTTCATTTTCTTTCTCCATTATGTTTCCCTTCATCTCCTCAATTTCGTATCTCGATTTACGCAGCCCAGCCTCCAGCTCGGCCTCCCTCCGGCCCGATTCACGTTTTATCCTTTCCGCCTCGAGTTTCATGGAATTCAAATCCATCTCAATAGATATGTCGTCCCTTTTCTTCTCTGCTTCGAGTTTGCTCACGAGTTCTTCTAGAAAGTTCATGTGAGCCGTCAACCGTTCGATCTCAAGGGCCCCGGCATTCTGATTTTCTTTAGCTTTGCATTCGTCCGATTTAAGTGTCTCGACTGTCTTTTTAGCTGTCTCGAGCTGCATTAGGGTTTCGTGGACGAGCGCCTTGGCCTGAGACTCGGATTTTGTGGAGTTCATTAATTCACTCTTCATACCCTCCATTTTACAGAGCTCGGTATTTGCAGGCTCAGGCCCGGTTACTACTTCGAGCCGCGCTTCAAGGCGTTGGATCTCATTCAATGCAAAGGCTAATGAGAATGAGTCATCTGAGTTTTCAGATAGACATGACGGATTATCTACTGTCTCGGTAGACGATGATTGATTGCGAATTTGATTTTGGTACTGTTTGAGCTTGACAGACAGGGCTAAGAGGAGTTGGCGGGATTCTGCTGCATCTTTCTGAGCTTGGTTCTTGGATTTTTCAGAAGAGAATAATTGATCCTTGGTGTTTTTAAGCTCGTGTTCGAGTAGAGAAATCTTAGACTCGAGTTCGGCAGCTCGAGTTGGACCCTTACTCTGAAATTTTTGCAGGGAAGGAATTCATTACTGGTGAAATGTAGGAATCTTGGTATTAATTTTGTGAATCGTTTGTGACAATTGGATGCAAACATACATAGACTTGAAATAAAATTTTACCATACCTGATGAAAATTCTGGAGAAAGAAAATAGTACATATTTCTATTTGAAAAGAAAAAAAAATGAATTTTGGCAAGAGGCATCAACTTATTTTAAGCTAGTAGACTTTGATCGTATTTTTCTTTTCTCAATGGATGTGTGTGAAGTCCCAAAATTATCGGATACCGGAAAAATACAATCACCAACAAACTGACTGGAAGCTTTTCTAGGTTGTACAAAAAAGATTGCGCATTTTAAGTGTACCTCAGTGAGTAGGCTTCGAGGTGATCTATGAATGGGAACTTTAGGACTTCCTTCTTTTGGTGGCCTACTTGCTAGGTTGCAAGAGGATGCGGTGGGTTCGGCATATCTTGGACTTATCTTGACTTCACGCGCCACACGTGGCGAACTTTTATTGGATGCCTCACATGAAGAAGCTCGAGGTGAATTCTTGTGAGACGCCTCACAAGTGATAGATTTTGGAGAAATTATTTGAGATGCTCCAAAAGAACTGGTTTTGCACCTGAATAAAATCAAAATTGTCAACTTGAAGGACCATAAAGTAATTTCAAACAAAAGGAACAAAATAAAAATANCCTAATAAAGTTTCTGTAAAATAAGTAAAACAATAGCAGAGTATGGAACATAGAAAATAAGTCTTAACTTTAAAAAACCGAATAACGGGTTCGTACCAAAAATAACATCACTAAAAACCATGAAGTTATTAACTTTCCCACAACAGCTACTCAAGGATTGACGGGACCTTACTAGTAAAAAAAGTATGAGTTGAAAACATTAGCCGAAGCTGAAAGCTTAAATCAAATGGCTAATCCCGATTCCGTAATGTAGCAAAATTATCATTTTTCTAAACAAAGAACACGATAGATTTACCCGTGATAGTAGACTGCAACAAGTCACAGAACAAGGAATAGATGAAGCAGTTTCTTTCTTTCCACTAATTTTCTTTGATCACCCAACCACCCCCAAAAGACAGAAAATTCTCATTTCAGCACAATTATCACGTCTTTACAGCAAATCATTGCAAAAGGAAAAATGATAAATCATAACCCCAACGCTTTCATCATTACTAGAATTTTACTTGCATAAAACTTAAGAACATGAGATAATCATTTTCATTAAAGCCACTGAAAGCTTCAGTAGTCTCATAGAAGCATCGAAAGTTACCCTGATTTAGGTGTTTGCATGTCTTAACAACTGAGTGGTCCCAAAGTGCTATATGGAAGAAACTAATTATTGCTACTTGAATGAATCCCCTGACCTTCAAGACCTGCAACAGTGCACAAATTATCACAAGGGGCAGACAATTGATAGTTCAATGTAGGGAATCCAATGAAATTAAATGTACAAGGGGCTCTCAGTGAATAATTTCAGGATAGGTAGGGGGTTGTTAGGCAGTCTAACCGTTAGCCCGTTATGGCTTTTTACTTTTCATACTCATATGACATACTTTTAAAATTAACATAAACAAAAGTATGACAATTCACAGTGTAAGTATGCATTTTGGTTCAAAACGTGTGATGGGATGGGTCGATCCGCCTAACCATTGGGTCATCTCACACAAGAATTTGTGTTTTGGGACAATTATGTTTATCACAAGTACTTTGGTCAAATAAACAAATTGAAAACATTAAAGTACATCAAGACAAGATACAAACAACTACAAATGATATTAGTATTCTGCCAGTATCCTCTAGTGTTTACACACAGAACATATTAACTTTCACCTATTCAAGGCATTACACTATCTAAGAAATTTTGCTTGAATGCTTCATGAGGGATGGTCATTTGCTTTTCTACAGTGGACTGGTGAATAAGAAACAGAAATAAACAATAAATATAAAAGAAGCACCACAAGTGGAGTAGTTTTTTATAACCAATTTAGAAATCAGATTTTCCATTTCTTAATAATTATACGCAACACTAATAATAGGCAAAAGAAAAAAAAAATGAGAAGACAAACAGCATCTTGACCAGGCACATTAAAGAAAACGGATACATTTACATTAAGCAAAAACAAAAAACAGATATATTACAAAATGAAAAACGACATTCCACAAATTAAACAAAAACAGATATATTACAGAAAAAACTGGATCAGATTCAAATTTGCTCATGAACAAAGCCTGTAAAGAGGTGGTGTAAAGCCGGAAAAGTTACAGAGACTGAAATAAAACAGTTAAAAGGTATAAATTGTTCGGAAAGAGGCTCTGAAAAGATATCATCATCACATTCTCTTACATAATACATCAACTGCTTCGGGTGACCCAACAAAACAAAGTATGAAAAATAAGAGAATTGGAAAAGAAATGTAAGAACTGATTATCACCAAACACAAAAAAGGAAAATTTCTAATCTGTTGCTCACATCACATGGACAATAAAATGGGAATTGGCGAGTTCAACAAGTAAGATTACTTGTGAAATGTGCCTGCAATTGGTCTTACCCTGAATTCGTTGAGTCCGCCGATTAATTTGAAACATCTAAGCATGGTAGAAGGAAGCCGCCATTATCGAAAAGAGAGAGAGAGAGAGAGAGAGAGAGAGAGAGAGAGAGAGAGAGCGCTCTATTCGAGTGCAGCTGCGAGCTGCCGCTTGTGCAGTGTTCAGGTTTTTCAAAGTGGGGGTCGACTGTGACACAGGATTTTTTTTCGGTTCAATCTTTTTTTTTATTTTTTTAACAATATAACTTTTTTCATAACAAAAAATTAATTTGTTTTTTTCTTTGTAACTTTTTTCATAACAAAAAATATATATATTTTTTTTTTGGTACAAAAATTAATTTTTGATTGTATTAGAAACAACTAATAGTAATACTTTTTTAACAAGGCTTTTGCAAGGAAGCCTTACGAGATATTGCATGATTGATATATTGAAAAGGAATTTGATAGAAATTGAATAGGTTGAAGAATAGAATAAATATGATAAAGAAATAAAATAAATTTTTTAATTGATGTGTTTAGTATACACTAGTACGTAATCTGTACGATGCACGAGTTGTAATTTATTTTAGGGTATATTATAAATTGAAGTATACCAATAAATAAATGAGTGATAATATGCAGAGAAATTGTCAAATCATAAAAATGTTCCACATCAAAAAATAATATATTATTAAAAATGTCCTTGTAAACAACATTATTAGTTTGATTACAGAACAACTCATTTCTATTACCTACACACGAAAATAACAACACATAATTGGCCATGACTAAAAATTGAACTCTTCTTTATCGTCATGCATACAAAACTATAAGTAGGAAATGGCGTCGCTGGAACTTAAATGGAAACCTAAGATCGCAAGAATTTATTTATCATGTGATAATTTATATGACAGTTCGACAAATGAACTGTTAATTTATCATTTTAATATCGATTATACTTGATTAGCTAAATAATATTAACTAAAATTTTTATACTTATTTATATTATAAAAGGAACATTAAATATGTATGTTTAGAATTTTAAAAACACATAAAATATTTTATAACATATGTAAGAATATCTAAAATATTATATATTTTTCTTAAAAAATGTGAGGTTGCCTTCTCTTTTTACTTTTGTAACTAAAACATGTTTAAAAATACTTAAGTTTAACACACACACACACACACACACACATATATATATATGTAAGAAACTGGGAAAAATATATTATGTTATTCACAAAGAGGAGTACACATATATATAGATACATAGATGGGCTTTAGCCTAAATTGGACCTAAACCTAGCCTATAATACAATCTTAATATTTACATGTTTAACACCCCCCCTCAAACTCAAGGTGGTATCGTGGAGATCAACTTGAGTTTGCTAAGAAGTAAACAAAAGCGACCGGGAAGAAGAGACTTCGTGAATACATCCGCTGGTTGATCCGTAGAAGAGACGGAAACAAGCTTCACAGTCCCATGTGCAACATGCTGTCGAATAAAGTGACAATCAATCTCAATATGCTTGGTGCGCTCATGAAAGGTATCATTATGAGACATCTTTATAGCACTCTGACTATCACAGTGTAAAGCAGTAGACGACGACTGAGGGGCACCAAGATCAGCAAGTAGGCGACGTAACCATAAGAGCTCAGAGGTGGAATCAGCAAGAGCGCGGTACTCAGACTCAGCACTCGATCTGGAGACTAAGGTTTGCTTCTTACTACGCCAAGAAACGAGGGAATCACCCAGAAAGAAGCAGTACCCAGTAATGGAGCGACGATCAGTAGGATCTCCAGCCCAATCTGCATCAGAATAGCCGCTAAGTGTCAAGGAAGAACGGGCTGAGAAGTGTAAACCATGCAATAGAGTGCCCTTCACATAGCGAAGAATGTGCAACACAGCAGAATGATGTGCGGTCCTCGGAGCAGCCATAAACTGACTCACAATATGAACAGCATGCGCTATATCAGGCCGAGTGACAGTCAAATATATCAAACTCCCAACCAACTGACGATATAAAGTAGGATCCTCAAGAAGAGAGCCATCCAGTGGAGTAAGACGAACATCATAATCAAGAGGTGTGGAAGCTGTCTGACAATCCGTAAGACCGGCCCGAGCAAGAAGATCAGAGGCATACTTGGCTTGAGACAAATAGAAGCCATCAGAGGAATCAGAAATCTCAAGACCCAAAAAATAGCGAAGCTGGCCCAAACTCTTCATCTCAAAATGCTGACGAAGATAGTCCTGTAAATCGGAAATACCAGTAATATCATCTCCCGTGATGATCATATCGTCAACATAGAGTAGCAAAATAATAATCCCAGAGGAGGAGCGCCGAAGAAACAAAGCAGAATCGTGATCACTCGTAGTGAAACCAAACTGAAATAATGCAGAACTGAACGTGGAATACCAGGCACGAGGGGCTTGTTTCAAACCATACAAAGCTCGACGTAGACGACAAACCTTCCCAGAGGACAAGGACCCAGGAGGGGGAGTCATGTAAACCTCCTCAGACAAGGCACCATGCAAGAAGGCATTCTTGACATCTAACTGTAGAAGAGACCATCGACGAACAGCAGCAACAGAAAGTAAACATCGAACAGTAGTAAGACGAGCAACCGGTGCAAAGGTCTCTTCATAATCGATGCCGTACTCCTGTGAATACCCCTTAGCAACCAGACGAGCTTTGTAGCGCTCAATAGAACCATCTGAATTTGTCTTGATCTTATAAACCCATTTGCATCCGATAGGTTTCTTTCCAGCAGGTAGATCCACCAAATCCCAAGTATGAGTCTTGTCCAATGCCTGCAACTCATCAGCCATAGCTTGTTGCCACAATGGATCAGCACTCGCCTCACGAAAAGATCGAGGCTCATGATGAGATAGTATGGCTGAATAGCAATGATAGTCAAGTAAGTGAGAAGGGGGACGACTTACACGAGTTGATCGTCGGTGATCAATGGTAGGTGAAGGGACAGAATCAGAAGAGGTCTCAACAGGGAGCGACAGGTCAGGATGCGCAGGTGGAGCCACTTCAGAAGACGGAGGCATGACAGGCGTGTCAATGAGCTGTGAGTCAGGACAAGTATCGGGAAAGAGATCCGAAGTAATGGTCATGAAGAAAGGGGATGACGAATCAAATGGAATGTGAAATTTAGACAAAGAAGAAAAAGTAGTATGCTCCCAAAAGGTAACGTGACGCGAAATGCGCAACCGATTAGCAATAGGATCCCAACACCTAAACCCTTTGTGTTCTACCCCATAACCCAAAAAACAACACAAACGAGCGCGAGGTTCTAATTTGTTCCGCTCATGGGATGGGAGAAGAACAAAGCAAGCACAACCAAAAGGACGTAACTGAGTATAATCAGGCGACTGACCATGCAACCTCTCAAAAGGACTGATATCGCGAAGAACTGATGAGGGTAACAAATTGATAGTATAAATAGCAGTCAAGGCTGCCTCACCCCAAAAACGATCAGGACACTGAGCAGAAAGAAGAAATGCACGAACAGTATCAAGAATGTGACGATGCTTACGTTCAGCTCGTCCATTTTGTTGAGAAGTATAAGGGCACGAACGCTGAACTACTGTGCCCTGATCAGAAAGAAAGTTTAAAAAGGTAGAATCTTTGTACTCAAGGGCATTGTCAGTACGCAAGACCTTTATCGGACAAGAAAATTGTGTGCGAATCATTCTAGCAAATTGAATATATATGGTGGGCAACTCAGAACGATTTTTAAGAAAATAGATCCAGGTAAAACGAGAGAAATCATCAACAAAAATAACAAAGTACCGAAAACCATTCATAGAAGCAACCGGAGAAGGGCCCCAAATATCAGAATGTACCAAATCAAAAGGTTTATCAACAGTTGATAAATTCTCAGAAAAAGAAAGAGCCGAGTGTTTCCCAAGCTTACAATGAAGACAACTAAAAGACTCAAAATGACCTGGACCTAAAAGACCTTTATTATATAAAGAACGAACTTTATTTGAAGACGCATGCCCAAGACGAAGATGCCACTGAAAGCTGGACTCATTATCGGTGACAGGAGCAGAAAATGAGGAAGGACGAGGAATACGAAGAGACTCAAGCTCAAATAACCGGCCCATCTTGCGACCCGTCCCGAGAAGCAGACCCGTCTGCGTATCCTGAACCTGAACACCAGAAGATGAAAATATAACATTAAGACCTTGTTCAACCAATTGACCAACAGAAATAAGATTCAAGGCTAAATCAGGAATGCAATATGTGTCAGGAAGGTGTAAAGAAGGGGAAGAAACCAGACCAGTGTGAGTAATATTCATACGGGTACCATTGGCAGTATGTATAGGAGGTAAAGAAGTGACAGAAGACGAGGAAGACAAAAACTGTGCACTAGAGGTCATGTGATTGCAACAGCCAGAATCAAAGTACCAATGAGGATTACCTGCGGTAGCAGACATAGCAGAATTGGAATGGATAACCTGTTTGAGAATAGCCTCTATGTCTTGAAGAGTGTAAGACGAGTGCTGAGGCTCATTAATGACAGCCGCTGTAACCGAAGAGGAAGGAGTCGTTGAAGAAGACCCACGAGACCCTCGAGATCGAGAAAATGAACCTCCCGAACGTTGGGACTTCGCTGGACAATTTGGAGCAATATGCCCCAGAGCATGACAGATGTGACACTCCACCTTAGAACAAGTGGAAAAATGGTGACTAGAACTCTTGCAAAGTCGGCAATAAACACGGGCAGGTGACTGAGGCTGATGCGACAGAGCGGAAGCGGAAGTAGGCACAGCTAATGCAGACTCAAGCTGTGGTGTCCTGGCCAACTGAAGACGAGTCTCCTCAAAAGTGATTTCTTGAATAGCAGCATCAAGAGTAGGCAGTGGATGACGGTGTAAGAGAGAAGCACGAACAGACTCATACTCAGGACGAAGAGCCATCAAAATCTGGATAAGATCAAGGTGATCCGAACTAATCTCAGCCTGTCGGAGACGATACCGGATAGGCTGAACTTGTGCAAGAAACTCATTGACAGATTGACCCGGTTGCTGCTTGGTGGAATGCAGGGTGCTCCAAAGCTGATAGTAGTGAGCCAAGCCTGTAGTCTGAAATCGAGCA